ACATGTACATATATAATTATATATAATTATATACATATATGTATATATGCACAATATGTGATATAATAAATAATGTTTAAAAAGTAGTATATTTTATATACTTTCTATTATTTTAGCAACAAATCCTACTTAAATAAAAAAAACTGTGTATGTTTGCATTAGTTCCAGTCTATTTACCTCAGGGTTTCTGTAGCTCTTAATTTTACTATAAATCTATCTGCTTTAATATTTTTATCGCTTTGATTACTTAAAATCCTGATTGCAGTACTCTCCACTAAGTCTGCTCCTGACCACCTACTCCTCCTCCCTCAGTTTAATTTTAATTTAAAACTTGATTTAAATTTATTTTATTTTTAAATCTGGGAGAAGTTACCAGGGGAGAGGGTAGACACGGAAGAACTGGAAAATGAGTGTTACCGGGATGCATGATGAGAAATTCACAGAGAATCAATGAAGAATATACATTTTCACAAGAAAAAAAGATAGAAAACAAAAAGAACAGAAAGCAAGGGTATATTTTAACTAGTAGTTTCCAGGAATAAGGTACACAGGAAGGAAATCATGGTGATGTTACTCACAATGAAGTAGCCCAGGGAATAGCTTGTTCAATTTAGAAAGTGGCTTAATTTGCTACTATTGCTATGATAAAACACTGTGAAAAGCAACTTATGGAGGACAGGTTACACTTCATGATTTACTTCTAGTTAGCAGTTAATTACTGAGAAATGTCAGGGCCCAAACTGAAGCAAGGTAGGAACCCGAAGGCAAGAACTGAAGCAGAAACTGTGTAAGAGCTGTGCTTCCTGTCCTGCACCTCATATCTTTCTTTGTGTGATTAATAGCTCAAGGGTGGCACCATCCTGGAGATCTGGGCCCTACAATTTCCACTGTTAATCAAGACAACATCCCATAGACTTCCCTACACACTAGGACAATCTGATGTAGGCATTTCCTCAACTAAGATCCCTCTTCTCACCAACTTCTTCTCTTAGACATTTTTCTATTTCTTTAATAAAACACCAGGAGTAAAGCAACTTATAGAAGTAAATATTTATTTGGGATTAGAGCGGTAGAGAGATTACATTCCTTCAAAGTCATGAGAGAGAAGCATGGCTGCAGGAAGGAAGGAGAACCAAACAGGAATCAGAGACCTGGGGGCTCTTATCTTAGGCAGCAAACACGAAGCACAGAGAGTACACAGCAAATGGCACCTAGCTTCTGTAATGTTAACTCTAACCAATGACATACTTCCTCCAGGAAAGCCAAGCCACTTAAACCACCCAAAAGGTCTCACAAAGATGGCATCCTATTTAAACCATCACAATGAAACTCCTCCCCACACCCTGCAAAAAATCACCAATTCGAGAAACCTTTGAACTCCTTAATTTGATTCACTCACAGGTATTCTGGAAGCAAATCAGTTCTGAAATGTTACTTTGCTTTACTAGGTCCTCCATTCTTTGCAAGATGTATGAAATTTTAACTGTGTTATGTATGTTGCAAAAGAGTCTCCATTTTAGACAGAGACTTCATTTCACAGGTTCATATCTGCTTATAGTAACTGCTATTTTCTTCATCATTTTAGATTTCCATTTTTTATTGATTTCAATTTTGTAAAGTACTTGAAATTACAAAGGATCTTGTTTTTGCCTTGTGGTGTTACAGATGTCTTTTATACAAATCATGATTGACAAGAATGTAGATGTTTTGGGAGACGATGACAGTACAATTTGTAAGGATATTCAAAAGAGATCTGATGACCTTAAGATGTCACTAAATACTGCTGGTAAGTCACCTGTTATGAAAAGGCCATAGGTGGGCACAGTGGGAAAACCTCCAATGCTAATACTGAAGAATTAAAGATTTCATCTGTTCTTTCTCAGAAAGAAGGTCGTAAGTATAAGTGAAGTTTTAATTAGTCATCAAATGAACGAAAGTATGATATCATTGCCTGATTTCATGAATTTGTAAATATCAGAGTAGCATTGGGCATATCATGATATTAGAGTATGGGAAAAGATTGTTTAAACAACACTTCGTGTATATATATATATATATATGTGTGTGTGTGTGTTTGTGTGTGTGTGTGTGTGTATTTACATGTATCTATGACAGAAGTACTCCTTATTTAGCCTCTGTATGACTTTCAGAATATTACCTCTATATTTCTCACTTTTCATTCCATGGTCCATAAGTCATGTGAGATATCTTGGATATGAAATTGTTTTTTAAAAACTCACTTGAACAATTATTTGATTTTAAAATCCATTAAATATACTACAAGACTGAACCATGTGCTCACAAACTTTGTTATTCTTGTGTAAAAACACTAATGTTTGTTTAATTTACTTTGAGAGATAATCTTGCCAAATACTTAGCATTTGCTATAAATTTTAAGCTGCACAGGATCCATTACAACACATATGTGAAGAATAATAAAGATGCTAAATAAAACATACCTGATTTAACAGGTAATACCATTCAAAATAAGATATACTGTTAACTCGGGTAATTTTTTGTGTAGAGTTCAGAAAATGCATTGAAAAGGTAGTCTTATCTGAAGTGGGGGTGAATCTATCATCTGAGAATGTTTGTCTAATGAAGACATTTCATGTTTCATTTAGGATGTGACAATGGAAAAACTTCAACATATAATGTTCCACAGAGGAACTATTTGTTACAAATAGTTTCACTCATTATACTTACTTTTATGTTGTGTATCGTATATATTTATCTATTATAATGAATTTTAATAAAGTGTATTATTGCTTTGACTCCAATGTACCTGATTCATGATTCTCCATAGTCTTTGAAAAATGGCATTTTCAGTATTCTCCTGTACCTCTGTTGCTCAGGCACGTGTATTCATGTGACAGATCCACTAGAATCAATTATTATTTCTTTTCCACACTACAATCAAAATGGCATTCTAAGTACTACTCAAGAAATGAATATTGGGGGTTTATCTGACCAAATTCTTCTAGATTCTCACCATAAAACAGTCCCCATTGCTAAGAATCAATTATGTAGTAGTACAATAAAATCAGACTCCCTCCTATGTATTATAGCAACTTTTTTTAAAAAAAGAACTTATGTTCCTATTTATGTGAATAGGTACTCTAGATAATTATTTTCATTAGGAAAATAGCTCATCATTTGAAGGCTCAGGGTATCATCATACAGCTGTTCTGATGTCAGGAGGTTGGAGCTAGTGAAGTCGTTCACCTAGCTGAGAAGCAGAGATCGATGATGTTCATATTCAGTGAGCTTCTTTAATACATTCCAGGAGCCGTGCCTAAGGAATACTACAGCACAGTTACCCTGTTATTTTGCTCACATCAGTTACTTAAGCATAGACAGAAACTAATGACATTAAATATTCCCTCAGAGTTGTGCCCAGAATCCTTTGTCATAATAGTTCTAAATAAAATTCCATTGACGATCAACATTAATCCTCACACATGATAAATTTAGAGGTGAATCACAATTTTAAGAATATAGGAAATGGTCTGAAACGATAGGTCAGTGTCTAAACCAACTGACATACAGGCTTTGTGACATGAATTTGGGTCATCAGAACTTACATTAAAAAACAAACAAAACTAGGTATTGTACCACAGTCATCTGTAAACTAAAAAGTTTCTACCTGGAAATGGAATTTTCAGATTGTAATGAATGTTGTTCTGTAGTGACCAAAAGAGATCCTGTGTCAAAAAGAGATGGGAAAAAGACCAGTATTTCACTCTGTCTTCTAACATAAATAAGCTCAAAGCTCTAAATATATTGCCAGTGATCTTAGATGCACACACACACACACACACACACACACACACACACACACACAGAGAGAGAGAGAGAGAGAGAGAGAGAGAGAGAGAGAGAGAGAGAGAGATCATACACATTTGCATATGCATCACATATATTCAGAAACCCACATAGGTATACAGTATATTTGATGTAGTGTCTCTCTTCATAAACTGAGACCTTTATCTCAATGCCAGGCATTCTTTACTCATGATTTTTGTTCCGAGAAAGAGTCTGTGATTCAAATTTGAGATATGAAAATCATAGAAAATTCCCTAGTAAAGACATTCATAAATACCACATTAATTATTTTTAGGACCCTCCTACACTCCCCTAGCACACATTCAGAATGTTTCCTTTATCACTATAATTATTTTAAATTTTTATTGAAAATTGAATTATAGCACTGTGACCTCCCATTCCTCCCTTTAGTCCATTGCATGCAACCCACTCGCAAACTCATTGTTTCAATATTGTTATATAAGTGTGTTTATTTGTTTATGATTGTATCTATAAAAATAGAAACACAACTTGAGTCCACTTTGTGTTTGTGTATATGGTTTCCAAGGTGAGTAGTCTGTATTGGACAGTCCATTTGACTCTCACTTGTATAAAAGGCTAATATTCTGCTGCCATCTTTAGTTGCTTGTAATATTTTGAAACATGAATTATGACCATTGCATTATCACTGCATTGATATTGCCATCATTGTAGTTTTACATCCATTTTCTGAGATTTCAAAACACCCTTTCAGGTGTGCTGCCTCTTAGTCTTTGTAACCCCAATTTATGCAATATTCCCTGAGCTATACACACTGGTACATGATATACATCTATTCTTTTGTGCTGGGTTTTTCCCCAATCCATTGATCTCTTCATTGTGTCCAGTTTTGGTTTTCCTTGATGGTCTCAATTTACTGTACCAAGAGGCTTCTTTGATGAGAGTTGATGGCTTCACTTCTATGTGGGTATAAGAATGAAATTTAGAATGCTGCCTTAAGGAATTGAGCTAATCTAGTAAACTAGTCTGATACATTTTCATGTCCATGAAATTCATTTTCCTAGTAAATAAAGTAAATGAAATATAAATATAGTATAAAGTTCCTTCCTTTTTGGCTACTTTCCTTTTCGACTTTCCAAGTCTTCAATTCAATTCACCTTAATCAACTATAGTCTGAAATGTTAAATGCTGGAATACCTAGTAATAAAAAGGTGCATACATATTAGATGGAATACCATACTGATTTAAGTGAAGACATTTTTTTTTTTACCAGTAACTCCCTTGTTTCTACCATTCCTTGTGATCATCTCCTGATGATTTGTTTCTCAGATATGCTGGGATTTCCCCTGTATCCCAGGCTGTACTATAACCACACCAAAATCTACCATTGGCCTTTCTTGAGATAGACTATACTGGCAACACATGAGTTTCCTATAATTCTTTCTCTAGGACAGAATCTCGTGTGCCTTTCCCTAAGTCTACAAATTAAAACATGTAAGAAACTGTTGTTTTAAAATACATGAGTCAATTATAATGTTGAGCCTCTCTAAAATATTGTCTCAAATTTTCCAAAGGTGTTTAAAAGTCTTTCCGTTCTTATGTTCTACTGTGGAAGAACTGAAGGGTCCAAAGGGGCTTGCATCCCCATAGGAAGAACAATATCAACTAACTGGACCTCTCTGAGATTCTAGGGACTAAACCACCTACCAAAGAATATACATAGAGGAAGCCATGACTCTAGACACATGTGTAGCAGAGGATGGCCTTATCTGACATCAATGGGAGGCGAGGCCCTTTGTCCTCTGGAGGCCCAATGCCCCAACATATGGTGATGCTTGAGCAGTGAGGAAGGGGTAGATAAAATGGTAGCTAAGAACCCTCATAGAGGCAAAGGGAAGGGGTGAAAGGGGATAGGATAGGGGTTGCTGTGGAGGGGTAACCAGGAAGGAATATCATTTGAAATGTAAATGAATAAAATGATTGAGAAATAAATAAACATTTTTAAAAATCAAAATGAGTTAAAGATTCCCTATAAATGAAAATGTAAACAACAGTCACATTCAGATCTAAAACAAACAAAACAAAAAGTCCCAGAAGTTTAAAGTTTAAAAGTTCATCATCAGATATTGGCTACTCACTATCTTCTGTGTTACAAACCTCACCATTTCCCCAGATCTGCTGTTAGCAGGACACACGTTTTGTTATGCTCATTCAGGTTATCTACACTCCAGGACTGCGCAGATCCCATCATACAGGTAACTTCAAAATGTTAGAATTTCTCTTGCAAATGGACTGTACCTCACCAATAGGCTGTGTTGGGATCTTGCCAGGAACACTATCTCATGTGGTGTCAATCACTAACTTTTTACCACGGACACTTCATGCTTTTGGCTTCTACAGAAACTGAGGCTGTACCCCATTATTGTCCTCCCCAACCTTATACTAGTTCCCAAGACTCAGCCGCTCCCTAACATCCCTTCATGATTTCAAAACTACAAGTCACAAACCTATGAACTTCTCATAATTTTTGTGTACTCTCACATCAAATCCAGGAAATCTTAGCATTTTAATCAGTGAATATAATTATGCTGTTTTGCTAATTTGTACCATTGGTTTTTACTATATTTTAAAAAATGTTACTAGAGTCACAGATTGCCTCTCTACTTCTGTAGTCATCTTTTAACTTTTACTGATGAGGATTGTTTTGAAATCCACTTTTGTGCTGAATCCCAATTTGGGCCTGTGACT